TTTGCTGCAGAAAGGCTGTTTCAGCTCCGAGGGTAAGGGAAATGAAACAGAAAAATACCTCCCATTAAGCAAAAGGGATGGAGAGCCCTGCATAATAGTGCTGTCTGCAGGGGTTTCTCGCTCTGAATTTGCATCCAGCACAGCCTTTTGCCAGCACCCAGAGGAGACGTGCCGTGTGCTGCTGTAGGAGATGGGGCTGGAGGGGACGAGCTTCTGGCCCCACAGCCGCATCCCTCACTCACCCCATGGATGGTGGGCAGTGCCTGGGGAGTGGGCGGGTGAGCAGATCCCAATGGTCTGATGGGCAGGTCCCACAGGGAGATTGGGATCCCCATGATGTGGGCTGAGTCACAGGTATATGGAGCTGCAGGAAGGGGGTTGGTCAATGACTATAGCTGGTGCTGGGTGTCTCCTGACTGCTGGGACACAGGCAGTGCCAGTGCATCCTCTTGCTCTGCCTACATCTGCATGGCCCCAGGGAACAGCCCCAGGAGAGATCCTGACCCCCCGCAGACACCCTAAGCCCAGGTAGGGTGTTCATTGGGAGATGCTCTTTCCTCTCCCTCTCCTCGGAGCTTGTTAAAACCCAAGTAGATGAGACGAGTGTGTGGTAGGAAGAACAGCATTCGCTCTGGAGCTTTCCTGAGCAATTCATCCTCTGAGAAATTAATTATCAGTGCTGGTATTGCATATAATCAGCATCAGCCCCTGTGTGCCTGGGGTTGGAGGGCATTGCTGCCTCTGCCTCCAGCGGCTCTGGGCTCCTGCTGACAGGGAGATCTGTTGCTGTTGTTGGAGTGGGAGCTGGAAGCAGGGAGAGCAGATCAGGCCGGAAGCCAAGCTGTGCAAACACTACTGGGGTGGCAGCACCTTGCTAGCCCTGCCCGGGGATGGTGGCTGGGACGTGACAGGGCAGCCCCGGTGCTGACAGCAGCTCAGACACCCACAAGGGAGTCCCAGGGTGCCCATTTGGCTGGGAGCAGGACTATAGGCTGGGAGATGGTGGCCTGTGATCAAGTGCATCTGCGCTGTGGACAGCAAACCCCTACGGGGCAGCATGAATGTGTGCACATACGTATGGTGGCACACCGGGAAGGTGGATGTTGCAATGTTTGATGTGGGACACACAGGGGCATCTGTTTCAGCAGAGCTGGCTCTGGCATGTGTCTGACAAATGGTGTTTGGTTTGGTGGTGGAGCATAATGTAAGTGGTGACGGCTGCAGGCACAGGGACGGGAGCGCCTGTCTGAAGGATGCTCTGGGGGAGAAAGGAGAAGGACAGAAGGATGTTGGACATGGCTCTTGATGGTGGCCAGGTGCTCCTTTGCAGGACCTGCATCTCACTGCCTGGCCAGGAGCACCTGACTCTGCAGCCAGCCCTGTGCAATGCGCCTTGGGCCACCAGGAGAAGGTGAGGTGCTGGTGGGGAGAGGGTCTGTTTTCTGGGTGTAAGAAGGTGATGGCTGGTATGCAGGGTCAGGCTGGTGCTGGGTGGGTGCCCCATGCTGGAGGCATGGCCTCCATGCAGCGTGGGCTGCCACCACCCAGGGCTGTGGGGCTTCGGCTGTCTGGGATGATGCTCTCTGGACACGTCTCTGTGTCCAGGTGCAGCCCCAGTTGGGACACTGGGGAACACTGAGCCCTGGGGCCAGCAGGAACTCAGCTAAGGGTGGGCGTTTTTGGAGATGGGGGTGATGGGGGATTCTGGGGACCTCTGGAACTGCTGCCCTGGGGGAGCAGGAAGTCCCTTGATGTGGGAGATGTTTCTATCATACTTGTGCCCTCTAGTGGCTTTGTCCCCTCTCCCGTCTCATGGCCACTATCCCAGTGCCATGACCATGCTCTTGGTCCCATGGCCACCATCTGACAGTGGCCAGGGTCAGCCTTGACATTCATGGGTGGTGACAATGAAGGGCTTGGACCAGGCCAGGAGGGCACCTTGGCACCATGTGTTGCTGTCTTCATGGTCATCTTCTTCAGGCTGGAAGGGAGTGCTTCTCCTTGATTTCAAGGTGGTTTGGCATGGAAAGATTTATACCTGGGGGGAGGCAATGGGTCCCAAAACCTTTTTCAGAGGCTTGGATCCTCCTCTAAAACTGTTGGGTGAGTGGCCCCAAAACTAATTTTATCCCAGAAAATGAAACCTTGAGTTTTCTAACACAAAGTTTCTCATATTTTGACTGCTCAGGGCTGTCAGCTGCCTTTCTCTCTGCTCTGTGTTTAAACACACGACAGTCTGAAAAAAAAAAAACAACACACTTTTCCCATTCTACTGATGTTTCCCTTTTGTCTAAAAGAAATAAAACCCTCCTTCGCCTCCAGCCCACAGCAGCCACCGCTCCTCAGCTGCGCTCCTCTGGGAAGGGATGCCTGGATGCCCTGCGGCTGCTCCTGTCTCAAATGTGCCTCTCCCCTTCCTTGTGTCTCCTCTCTGCGTGTTTTTGGACCCTACCCACAGTTGCAGCAAGGACGGGAAAGGTGGTTTGGTGAGAGAAGGCCAGCCAGGCACTGCGGGTCCCTGGGGCCGTTGGTGGAGCAGGGTGAGGATGGGATCCTGTATATCAGGACAGTGTGAGCTCCTGTTGTGCCCTGCAGGGACAGGGGGATGGGATGTTCCCATCCTCTTGGCAACTGTCCCTGTATGTGCTCCCACTGCTAGCAGGGGGATATTTCCTATCTGAGAAAGCAGATGTTGGGTAGGAGCTTCCTAAGCAGTTTCTCTTCCCTCCCAGAAATGCTGCTTGGAGAGAAAAATTAATTCTCTTTTGTTGTTGGTTTAAGGGAGAGCAAAACCAAATGTCACCTGGAGAAGTTCCTGCTGCTGCACCCCCAGGGGCTGGAACTGCTGCCCCAGGATGGGGATTAGCACATCACTGAGAAAGCCACCGTGGTTGATGGTCCCTGGGGGGATCAGACAGATGATCAATGCTGGGATTAGCTTGTACGGTGGCTGCAGTGACAGCATCGACCTGGAGCAGCAGCTTCACCCTGCCTGTGCTAGCACTGAGCCAACCCAGCCCCATGGCCTCCAGACTGGTGCATGCACTGAGCAGTGTCAGGCCTCTGCCAGCCCCATGAGGGGCTCGGGGGCACTGACAGCAGACAGCAACTTCCACAGATGTTCTGCATTTTGGATTTCTCCCCTTTCCAGCCTCATTAGTATTGAAATTAAAAGCAAGTGTTTGTGAATTGGTAGCTGTTCTCCAAGACCCTAATTAGCAAATCTCTTTATCCCCCACGGCTGCAATCTAATAATCAAAAAAAAAACCAACCCCAACACCCAAACAAGCCCCAAACCTTGTTTGATGGATAAGGAATGCTACTGGAACAGTCAGAAACGGCTCTTCCTGCTTAGTATGGTAATTAAACACTTCAATTGCAATTATTTTTGCAATTAGGTAAGTCTCTAATTGTTATCATAGGTGGCAGGGGTTTGGGAGTGTGTTTGCCAGTTCTTCCTCTCTGAGCTGGAGTGAAACGTGGATGCTACAGGCGATGCAAGGCCTGTTCCTGTCTGGTTGGGTTGGGGAAGAGGAGTCCTCTGCCTGCTCTGCTGCAGTGACTTGTTTCCTGCCTCTTTGCAATGGAAAGTGCTGATGAGGTGATTTCTCTTTCCGCGGTGGGGTCCTCTCCCCAGGGGTCTCGTAGCAACCTGTCCTGAGGTCATATGGGGGGATACTGGGGAGGGGATGTGTCCTGCCACGGCAACCCCTTGCTGCGGGGCATCCCTGCTCAGGCTGAAACCAAACGCTGTGGTTGCTGCTGGGGCTCGGGGAGCGGAGCGGGACCGCAGTGGCGCTCGGGAGGAGCCCTGCCCCAGCCGGGGGTGCTTCGGGGCTCCGCTCCGCCGTGTCCGGGCCGGGCGGGCAGGCTTGTCCCCGGCAGCAAGCAGGGGGAGCTCCGAGCCTGCGCTGCCGCCGCGCAGAGCCCCGCTCCTCGGGGGTTGCGGCCGGGCCCTGGCTGCGCCGCTCCGGGAGGTGCGGGGGGCTTCGGGTCGGGACGCTCGGGGAGCAGGGACCGTTCCTGCCTGGCGCCGTGCAGGGAGCCCCTCCTGCACCCCCCCGGCTCAGCATCCTCCCTTCCCGGGGGCGTCCTGCAAACACGGCTCTGCCTGTCCCCGCTGCGCTCCGGGGATGCCGTGTGATGCGGAGCGAGCGCGCTGTGCCTGGGGGTGGTGGGGGTCAGGTCCAGGAGAAAAGCTCTTACAGCACAGCAATGCGTCGTTGTTCGTTCATGTCCTACCCAGTCCTCGCTGCTGGCTGCCTCTTTCTTACAAGCTCAGGGACTGGGGTTTGTGTGCGCGGGGGTGCTCTCACTGGTCCCACAGGACAAGATGCTGTGTGTGTGTGCCAGCCCTTCCCGGAGCAGCTGCAGCCTGTGTCCTGGGAGTTTGTGCTGTGCGTGTCCAGGCTCTATCTCAGCAGAGGGATGGATGTGGCACGGCAGGGTATAGCTGGACAAGATCTTCCCAGGTCAAAACATGCCCAAAGAAATCAATTTTCTCATTTTCTCGCTGTGTTAAATAGATTTTTATAACATTACTTACTTCTGCACAGGCTCGGTGCAGAAACATCCTGGTTTGGATCCTGCTGGGGAAGCTAGAGCCCAGGGGCAAACCCTGGATGCTCAATGTTTCCCAGGAGGCTCCAGGGACACTCTTCTTGAAGTGGGGCTGGAACAGTGCATGTAAAGTAGTCATAGAGAGCAGGGATAGCACCAATCATGTCAAAACCTCCCCAGTGTGGGAGGCAGTCTTACCCAAGTACAGGTGCTGCAGGACATCCAGAACTCACAGCTGCTGACATTCACCATGCCTAGCCCTCCTGCTACATCATCCTCACTTCTGCCAGGACCTCTAGCCCCTCTGAGGGATGGGTATGTCCCTTGGACAAGGTACCAGGGAAGCTAGTGTCTGTGCTTCCCTTCTCCATCCTAGGTTGGTGTCTCTGACACCAAGACCTTGATCACAGACCACATCCCCTTTCACCCTCCTGTGCCCTGGGGGTCTGTGGAGGGCACTCCTAGCTCAGCCCTGCTGGGGATATGTGTTGGCTGCTGACCCAGCTCCTTGGGCACCACTGCCTGCTGGCATGGGGCTTGACACTGGAGGTGTCACGGCCTCAGTGGGGCAGGAGAGAAGCTCTTCTGCAGCTCCTCCAAGGGCTCTTCAAACACACCCCCTTGGGCAGGTGAAGGCTCCTCAGCAGTGTTTGCGGACAGGGCAAATGTTGTTTGCCAGAGCAGGGATCCTGCAAGGGAACAGAGAGGGGATTCAATAGCTGTGCAGGATGCAGGTGGGTCCTTCTCCCTGCTCTCCTCTTTCCTGCTCCCCACCGTAAGGGATGCTGCATTAAGAACTCTGTGCCTGGGAGGGACTGTGGTGCGATGCTGTGAGGATGTTCTTGGAGCACAGTTATATGCTGAGTGCTGACATTTGGGCAATGCTCAGCAGGCTCCAGGACCCACTGAATGGCATCCCTCTGAGTGACATCACTTTGCTTTGTGGCTTTCTTTGTCATCTGCTTGGGCCACCCAGCAGTGGTGGGTTTTTTTCCTCTGCAAATAGCTTGGCAAAAGTAAATGTCCTGGGGTTGGTGATGCTGTGCTCCTGGGTGCTCCTTTCCTCACGGCCCTTTCCCTGCCCCTGTAGATGGGTTGGGGACTTTTTCAGGCTGGTGCCCTGTGCAAGGTGACATTTCCTGTCCCCACCCCCGTGGTGCAGGGAGGAAATCTGTGGTCACACCGGGACCTCAGATCTCCTGCAAACCTCTCCCCCAGACCGCCTTTGCTTTACTCTGCTGATTAGATTAGCAGCCTCTCAGGGATGGCTGGTATTTTGCCTTTGCCTCGCAGAAACTAAATGTGTTTCGGAACATATGTGCGGCACAGAGAGGGAAAGCATGAAGCAGAAGAGCTGGAATTGGCATCCCCTCCGCCCCTGCTGTTGGGAAATGACAGCAAATAGAGATGACTCTGCCTTGTGTATACGCTGCTGGGGGGGGTGAGCACCGTGTCTGCCGCCTGGCAGGTTCTCTATGAGCTGTTGTGCCCTCCAGGCTCGTGGTTTCACACTGCTCCCTCTTGATGCCACCCTGGGGAGCAGCCACTGCACTGCTGAGTGATGCTTGTGCCTTGGTATGTGGCACTGTGGGACTTGCAGCCCAGCAGGGCCTAATGGGGCCCTGGGGATCTCATTGCCCTGCTCCTTGCTTTCTAAGGCACTGATTCTCCTATTGACGGGCGGTGACATTTCCAGGTTGATTCATGGGGAGACCCTCTGAGACGTGCAGGCTGATGCTGTGCCCCAGGGCAGGGGACCCTGTGCTCTTCTGCTGCAGCCCCATCTGCACGTGCAGGCAGGCAGCACCAGCTCTCACCGTCACCATGACCTTGGGTAAGGTCGGAAGTGCTCAGTGTGCAGCAAGGACAAGTGTACCTAGCTTCCAGCATGTGAGTGGCTGTATTTTCTCCCTCCAAGGCACAGTCAACACAGGAGAGCCCAGGTTATCAGCATGCAACACTGGAGGGAGAGAATATGGAGGTCAGGGTGACCTTGCCTGGCTCTTCCCTGAGAAGAGTTGCACTAAGTGGCTCTCTGGAACTGAGAGGCATCTCCATCCATAGCAGCCATGTCCTCCAGCCCAGCACCGCTGGGAGAGAGCAGCAGCATCAGCCCCTCACCATGGGAGCTCTGCCAGCATCCCCATGAAAGCTGCTGCAATTTATGTGGAGCCGATGTAGGCTTGCATGAAAATGAAGTGTGCTGGAAATCCATGGTCTGAACACAGCTGCCTCTGCAGCGTGTGGGGGGACAGGCAGGACGCAGGCATCTACTGGAGCATCACAGGGCGGCTGTGTGAGCCCACACCTCCACAGCCCTGTGCACCTACCCTGGGCTTGTGGCTGGGTTTGGGGAGCAAATGGTGCTGGAATGAGGAGTGAGGATGCACCTCTGATGGTACCACCCTCTGCGTCAAGTACCATTGCAGTGGGATGGCTGGATCAGGGAAAATGCAGTGGGTGCCACAGCAGGGAGAGCTGCCCCTTCCCCTTCTTTGCATGCAGTGACCCCGGCCCCATACTCACCCTGCAGCCCTCGCCTCTGTTGTCGAGTTGCTCCCTGAGGAAAACTGAGTGTTGTCCTTTCAACCTCATGGGACTTTGGAAGAGGGCAGCCAGGAGTTGAAGGCTGGGAGCTGTGGGTCCCAGGGCAGGAGGCTGGCTAAGGCTCATGGGAGAGCTCTGGCACTGGAAAGGGTTAAATTGTACATGGGGACAGAAAGAAAAGAGAGAAAATGAAGAGATCAGTTGGTCAGTGCCAGCCTGGTCGAGCCTGGCTTTGCTCTGTGGAGCACGAGGTACTGCCTGCCTGGTGTCTGACCCCTCTGAGGCCAGCAGGCAGGCTGGGGCAGGCACCCTGTACCTGGGACACTGGTCCTGCCCTGTGGAAACTGCCATCTCTCTGCCCATACACTGTGGGCACCGTCCTGCCCCTGAGCACAGTTGATTATGTGCAAGAGGGTGATCCAGAGCCACTTGCTCAGCTCTGGTGTTTTCTGCCCAATACCTCCCTGCTTGTGCTGCATGCTCCTTCCTTCAGGCTTTTAATCTCTCTGGACCCCAGGGACTGGTCTCACAACCTGCAGTCCTGCTCAGTGCTCGGCATCCTCCTCAGAGTCGGGTCCCACTGCAGTGAAGCAGGTTCCTGAGGTGCAAGAAGTGCTTCCCTTTACTGGTTTTGTGTAAAGTGAATTGCCTTGCTTTTTTAGTGCCTGGTGGGGAGATAGGAGCAGCTGTCTTCTCTTGCACCCCTGCTTGGCTCTTACCCATGGAAATGCCTCCAGCCCCTTAATGGCTGTGGTGCTCCTGTGGCCTTTTGATTTCCAAGGCAGTGGTGACTCTCACTCTGTTCCTGCTCCTGATGCCCCTGAGACTGGCTGTAGTTTTTCAGTATTCCCACTCCTGATTGCTGGTCTTTTCTCTATGCCTCATAACAGGAAAGAACATCGTTATTATGGGCAATGGTTCAAATGTTGCTGGTTGTGCTTTCCCCTGAATGACCCTGTGGAGCTGCTCTGAGCAGAGCTCTTCTTAACTCTGGCCCTTCTTATTTGGGGGGTCATGAGTCTGTGGAGTGATTCATTTTCATCTTTTTCTGTTAACACATCCAGAGCAGATGACTGGGAAGACTGCGCAGAAGGAAAGGGGAGAGAGGAACCAGCTTGTTTTGTGCTTGGGATGAAACTGGCTGCCAGGCTTTTGGTGTACAGGTAAATCCTGTGCCCACCTGTCTTCTGTGGTATTAGCTGATCCAAATCATCTGCCAACAGCAGATGTTTGTATATATGACTATGGAAAAAAGATTTGGAAGGGGCCCCATGTGATCCTTGGTGCATCAGTTCTGCACAAGTGAGCAGGTTAAGGAGAGAAGTAGAGAAATTAAAAGCAATAACTGATCATTCAGTGCTCAAGCAACTCTTATCTATTGCGAGCAGAAACCACAGCAGCGATGCTGGGGACAGGAAGGAGATCTCTGGATTTAGAACAGTCAAAAAACATCCCCGTGCTTGAGTCTTCCTCTCTCACTTCCCCGTGGTCCCTATCTCTCAGGTATCTTCACCGCTGTGGTTCCGGCTGCTGCTCACCATCATCCCTCCAGCCTCCTGCACCCCTGGGAGCAAATCCAGCTGGGAGGCACATAGGGGCTGAGCTGAGCAGTGGGGGAGCTTCACTCGCAGGGTGAGGACAGGCTGGAGCCACATGCTGGGTCTCTGCCCTGGGGGTTTTGCTCTGTTGGTGCCAGGCACCTGCATGCTCAGAGCTAGAGGACAGAGGTCCCCTGGCTGCTGCTGACCTCAGCATGGGCTTTGAATACAAGTCTTGTAGCAGGATCAGGCCCTGTGGGGAACCAGGGTTCCAGGGAACCAGGGACCTTGTCTAACTGGGAAAGCCTGGAGGAAATGACCCTGACCTCTGCCTGGGGAAGAAGAAACCTGTTTTCTTCCCCTTTTCTTTCCTTCTGTCTCATATTCTCCCTCTGTGATAAGGCAGATCTTTAAGAAGTCACTGATGTTTCTCTTCTCTTGTCCCTCTCCGCTGTGTAGGGAAGTCCCACTGCCCCATTCCCCATTGCAGCTCTCCCTGGCTGGCTGCAGAGCAGCAGTGGTGAGCTCCTGGTTTGCCCAGGAGCTGCGCTTCTGTGTAAGTAGACAGCACAGCTCCTCCTTTGTCTCTGTCTGCAGAAGTACCTCTACCATGCCAGGCACGTGCTCTCCGTATGTTTTATATATAACCTGCTACCACGTTTACCAAATGCTAAACCTTTGCACCCTTTATTAGTTTCTCAGAAACTGAAAAGGCAGCTGCAGAAGCTGTGTTATTGTATTTGTTCACACTCATCCATCCCTCCGTGTCTCCTGGGGCAGACTCCCCTGTCTCAAGCTGCCCATCTGCCCTGGTAAAGTACATCCGAGCCCCAGGGGAGGCATGATGTCGGCTGAGCCTTTTGGATGGCTCTGCCCTTTGGTTCACCTCCCTATGCTCTCCTTTTGGTGGCTTGAGACTGTGTTTCTGGGACAGGATCAAGAGCATGTGCTGCAGGAGAGCACGAGCACGGCTCCTTTGTTGGTATACGGGGTACAGGGAGCCAAAGGGCTCCTTATCAATGGATGGAAAGTTTCAGGGCTGCTTATCAGGAGCTGCCTCAGAGTTCGATTAAAGTCTTGGGAGCAGCAGTTTGCACTGTGGCAGATGGCAGGCTCCTCTGTGCTCCTTATGCTCAGATGGGTGAATGCTCCTGAGCAAGGTGGTGTGTGGGTGGCTCAGCCCCAGGGGGACATGGGTGCCCATGGAGGGGACTGGTGCCACCGCCTGGCACAGAGCTTACCCGCCTTGCGGATCCTGACCCCTGTGACATGCTTGGGATGATGTTGTGGGAATTTTTGGCTCTAACTTTATGTGGGTATTTGTATTTCTTAGATCATTTGCCAACCTAATTCTGGCTGTTTCTGTCCCTTTCCAGAGATGGGAATGGAGCTTGCTGTTGGCCAAATTTGCTGCTGATGCAAACTGACAGCCGAAATGCTAAGGGTGTGTGGCTTGCCTGGGAAGGGGACTGCTGGGCTGCTCAGCAGGGAGCTGAAGACCCAGATCTTGGCTCCTGCAGGGACTTGCAGCCTGACTGTGCCCTATGGCTAACACCCTGTTGGTCCTCTGTGACAGGCGGTCACTTTCCCAAGCTCTGCTGTGTGCCCAGGCTTTGCTGGCTGCCTACCAGCAGAGAGTGGGACATGTCCAGTTTTTGGGAGCAGATGCAGCTAATGGCTGTGCCCATTCTGTACAGCTAATTCTGATGGCAAAACTGTCCCCATTACCCAACAAACCCAGGGACGTTTTGTGTTCCTTGTGAATGGGTGACGATTGCAGGACTAGCCAGCCACATGTGAAGCTGGAGTACTGGAGCTGTGCTGCCAGCATGGAGGGATGTGCTGAATGATGATGCTCAGATGAATTTCTGAGTGACTTGCGAAGAGCAAGAGCTGCCTGGGCAAGGGTTTTCCTGCTGGGGCATCAGCTTGTTGCTTAAAAGTTCATGGACAACGTGGGGTCCCCACCTCTGCCTTCCTCTCTGGGAATGGACCTACCATCAAAGACCCGCACGTGAGAAGGCTCTTACCTCTTGAGGGCTCCATCGGTCAGCAAGACCCCCTTCCCGTTCCTCATCTCCAGTTTCAGGGGTTTGCCCTCCTGCTTGCCCTGGCTCTGACTGCAGTTCCTGCCCCTGGAATGGGCCTTTTGGGGGGGAGGCAGGCCAGAGCTCATGGGGCCCCCAGTCTTCCAGCAGTGCAGCAAGTGCTGGTAAGCCACCCGGAAATCCCTGTTGAGTGTCCCATAGAGGATGGGGTTCAAGGCCGAGTTGGCGTAGCCCAGCCAGAGGACAATGGACATGGGTGTGCCTTTCACCATACTGTCCCCCCACATCCCCCGGTATGTGAACACTGTGAAATAGGGGAACCAACACACGATGAAGGCTCCCATCACCACCGCTAGTGTCACGGTGGCTTTGTGCTCCCTCACCATGGGCGGCATGTGGGTGTTGCTGCTGCAGCACCACGTGTGGTTTATCCTCTTGGCTTGCTCCCTTGCTATCTTGAATATCCGGTAATAGGTGATGCACATAATGACCAGGGGGATGTAGAAGGTGAGCAGTGAGTCCACTAGCCCATACACAGGGTTCACCTCCAGTGTGCACTCCCTGTTGCAGTTGGGGACTGTGTTTTGGACTGCTGTGCCATTGGTGTTCCAGCCCAGGTGAATGGGTAGGAAGGAAACCATCAGTGAAACGGTCCAAATAACAGCCAAGCTCACAGCTACCCGGGAGGGAGTGACGAGCTGGCTGTAGCGGAGTGGGGTGGTGACAGCAAAGTAGCGGTCCAGGCTGATCATGAAGAGGTTGAGGATGGAAGCTGTGCACAGCATGACATCCAGGCTGGTGTAGATGTTGCACAAGGTGCTGCCGAAGGGCCAGTCTTTGGTGAGCTCATAAAAGGCAGAGAATGGCAGCACCAGGAGGCCCAGCAGCAGGTCGGTGATGGCCAAGGAGACGATGATACAGTTCGTCAGGCTGCGGAGCCGGCGGTCCAGGGTGACGGCCAGGCAGACGATGATGTTACCGCAGAGAGTGATCACGATGAGGATGGTGAGGCAGGATCCGACTAGCAGCTGCAAGGGGAAGTCCATCCTTTTTTGAGAGCTTGTATGGTTGTAACAAGGATCCATAGTGCAGTTGCATGGATGGAGCAGTCCTGCTCTCACTGGCTCCAAAGCTTCTTGGTGTGAGCCTCTACAAGGCAGCTCTAGAGCCCTTTCCAAAGTGACCTTGGACCTACAGTGACCTTGTAGAACATTGCAGAGTCAATTCACACATTCAGTGTTGCTCCTTGCATGCTAAGAGTGACATGATCCAGGGAAAGATGTGGCCCTGTGGCTTGCTTATGCTTGTTGGCCCCATCTGCGAGGTCAGTGTTGGAGCCAATCCCCCATGGCAGCTGCTGGTGGGTCTCAACTGCTCCCTTCTCCTCTGCTGCCTTCTCCTTTCCTCTGAGCAACCAAGGGATCTCATGTGCTCTGCATGTTTGGTTGGTGACAGTGGTCTGCAGTGCTCCAGCTGGGACAGAGCTTTGCCACTTGCTGAGGACAGCCTGCGAAGAAAGCACCAACACAGAGCTGCAGCGAGTGAAGGTTATTTGAGCTGTCCCTCAAACCCCTCTGGAAATGGGATGCCTGCACCTCCCTTGGATGCTTCAGCCTACTTAAACCTGTATTAGAAAGTCCTTTGGCAGCCAGGCGCTCATGTCTCTGCAGCTGTACCCCCCCAACCCTGGGGGTGCCCGCATGTAGTAGGGATGCTGAGGGAAGGGCAGGGATTCTAGAGGCACCAAGATTCTACGAGCTTATGACAAAAATGAGGACTGGGAGGATGAGGAAAGAGTTTTCCTGAGAAAGCAGTGTGCTTTTATTATGCAATCTAGCAAAATTAGTCACAACTGTGTAATTTCTGAAGTGTGGCTGTAAGCCTTGCTAAACTTTGCTTTTGCATCTGCACTTTGCAGAAGTCCATGCCTTGTGCTGGTCCCTACCATCTGCAACTGTGCTGGCTCCTGCAGCCCAGAGAGGAAATCCTCACTCTCCTCAGGTCCCTGCAGGTAAAAGGAACCCATCTGTCAGTGGTGCAATGTCCTGGGAAGGAGGTGGCTGGAAAGGGCTCCAACAGCTTCATAGGTCCTGTTCCCTGCAGCTGAAGTGACAAGAGGGATAGGGGCTGGGAGCAGGCTGAGGAGTCCAACTGCTTGTGCTGGGACACCCATGGAGCTGCCTGTGCTGCAGCTGTGATCTCCTAGTCAAGGGGATGGGTCTTCCTCACTCTCCCTGCTGTGCTGGTGGGGGAGAGATGTGCCGGTCCTCATGGGTGATGCAGAACCCCACTCCCCAGGCTCCCATAGCCCATGGAGCAGTGGTGAAGCCCTTCCTGGTGGTGCACAGGCTTGTGCAGGAAGGTAGAACTGATTCCTTACAGCGTGCAACAAGCTACAGTGGTGGAGCAAACAGAAGAAAGAATAGGTCCAGTCTTGGCAGAGGGCAGGGTGAGATTTTAAAGTCAAACTCGCCTTGCAAGAACAAGATAAGGATGTGGAACAGGCTGAAAAACTCTTCAGGTGATCTATGTCTTTGATTCAAGGTTAAAGGCATGGGGGCCAAGGGAGAGAGTATACCAGGGAGACTGCATGAGTAAATAACCGCCAACTGCCAGGAGCCATGTGGTGGAGAGAGGACCTGTGAGACTAAAGATGATACCTGCAGCCCTGCTGATTCTAAAGGAGCTGAAAGTGAATGACAGTTCATGAATTGCCCCATGGGAAGTGTTCTGCTGAGCAGAGCAAATTCATTGCCAGCCATGGGGTCCTCTGAATTTGGGTGCTGGGATAAAGGCTGTTGGGAGAGGGCTGTGATACTTTCAGCTGCGGCGGCAGCACGCGGAGTGGTTCCTCACCTCCTGCTGCAGCGCAGGCTCTTGCCATGGAAAGCTCTTTGTTCGTTGCACAAAAGCAGTGTGGAACAAGCTGAGCGCTGCCTGCCCACTGACGGCAACGCTGAGAACAGGTTGTTCTTGGAGAACGGTATTTCCAAGTGAAAGGGATGTTTTTTCGTTGCTCCCAACATGTGGAAATGGCAGGATAAATTATAGGGGGAGTAGCACACTTAGAAAATGCTGTGGGTGGATCACAGCCTCCTACATGGCTGCTTCACCACACATCAACAACCTGCTCCTGCCACCAGCTCTCGCAGCTCACATGGGCTCTCGCAGCTCACATGCCAGGGCTCAGCCCGGGCTCTGCTGGTGGGTCCCAGCTCTGAATGCATCGGCACACTTGGCACTGCCATGGTGCAGGGAGTGCCATGGGGCAGCCCTGTGCCACACACCTGGCCAGAAACAGCTTTCTTACTGCTTTTTCTAATTAGCTGAGGGCAAGGAATGGTCACTGCTCCCATTCAAGTCAGGGAGTAAAAAGCATTCCCGAGTGAGATATAGAGCCACTGGGCTGAGCTGTGGAAGGAAGGGAGCAGTGATTCCTAAATGAAGGGGACAGAGGTGTCCCCATCCCTGCAGAGGACTGGCTGTCAGGGCGCACATGTGGGCTTCAGGGCTCTGCTGCCTGCAAACCCTTGGGAGTTTGCTTCTCCATGGGACAGGGCATGACCTGCCAGCTCAGATGTGGGATGTTGCAACCCAAACTGTGGCGGGGGTGTGAGACACTTTCCTGTGTCCCTCGGGCAAATTATCTCATGGAAACATTCCCCTGAATGATCACAGCCTCTGGACATGGCTTTGTAGGCTGGAGGGCTGGTGTAGACAGCGGCTGTGGCTCAGCCCACTGACCTCAGTGCACAGTCCCTGCAGCAATGCACTTAGCTTGGGGCTCTCTCCTGGAGCATCAGCCCTCTCAGACTCCACATCTGCCTCTGGTTTTCTGCTCAGGTCACCACCTTTAATTCCAGGTCCTGTGTCCTCTGCTCCTGTTGCATTTTGGCAGAGCAAGTTCATTTCCTCCTTGATGTATGAGTGGACCAGCTGTTTCCCATAGCAGGGTTTCTAGCAATAGCCTGAATAAATGATATCCTTCCAGCCCTGTCTCACTAGGCAGCCTTTACATTTACCTGATTACCCTCATTATCACAGCTGGGACCTGTTCCTGGGTCAGAATCACCCTCCTGACACTGGGGGACCAGAGCAGGGCATTGCTTCTGGGTCATCTTCCAGTGCTTTTTCCTGTGGCACTGGTGCTGTGATGGATGCTATCTCTGCTGTGAGGACTTGTCAGGTTGCATTTGTTTTGTTGCAGTTATCCTGGGGTCCCCTAAAAGCCAGATAGTTTTCCTATGGTGTTTTCAGCTGCTTAGGGTAGCAATTTTTGCTGTTAGTCCCTAAGCATGTGAACTCATGCCAGTCCATTGTGTTTCTGTTGCTGTTTGGATCCTCTGGTTCTTCTCCTATAGTACTTAGTCCCTTGTCCTGTTCAAAACTTCTCCCAGATTTCCCACCAATGCACTTTCTTAGAGAAACTCCCATTTTCTGAGCCAAGATCACCAATGAAAACCATTAAATAAAATTTCTCTTTAGGCTGATTTTTAAAGAACTCTGTTAATAGCCTTCTTCAGAGCATTGATGATCTTCCCATTTTAATGTACTATTGTCTCCCCATTAGCCTCCTTATAACTCTCATAGTAATTCCTGCCTTCTCCTGCCTGAATAGACATTTTCTGCTCTGTTGCAGCCCATGTTACATTTGATCCACTGTGTTCCCTTTTGAAATGGCAATTATCTCTTCTGGGGAGGGGGCTGTGATTTACCCATGGGATGTTTCTGTTGCATTTTAGCCTTTTATTCCTCCTCCCCATCTTTCAGCATCCTTTCCTTCAGCATTGTTTATTTCAGCCCTTTGTACATTTTTGCAAGACTAATGGGATGCAGCACCCACTCCGGCAGCACAGGTAGTACATGTGCTGCTCTCCATTCATGCACTTCTAGTTCTGGTTCTATAATAAATAGGTTTGTTTAAAATCTGTTAAAAGCCTAGGTACATCAGCATGGTACATAGGCAGAAAGGAGCATTCGGCGAGCGTCTGAACGTGGCAGCCTGTCTTTGGAAAGCATTTCCTGCTTCCCAAAAGGGAACCAAGAGCAATGGTTGTGAGTTCAGCAGAGGCTCTGCACGAAGCCTGTCCAGGATGGTTCTGCTCTCAGGCAGACCTGAAATGTTTCTTTGCCTCCTGCTTTAGCTTCCTTTCGAGCAAAGAGCTCACAGAAGTCACTTAGGAGAGAAGCACGTTCCCTGGCCCTGCAGAGCTCGCAGCAGAGCATCATGGCCCTTTCTAAAATTATATCCAAGTGCTTCCTGAGATTAACCATCCGGGCACGCTGCAAGATGTACTTCAGGCAAGGCTGAGGTAGGCAGCTGGGGTGGGATTTCTCCTGGTCTGAAAGAGGGTCTTTGGGGTTCAGTGGTGGGGAGCGGGTAGGGCTGTGAATGGCAGGGACCCTGGCAAAGGGCAGTCTTGATCCTCTGCCTCACAATGGGACAAGACTGAATTTGCCAGAGTTGGGGCTTGAAGGCAATGTGAGAGGGGACAAATGTGAGAGTGATGTGGTAACTAGCTTGCTCTGCTGTCTGTGGAGGGCTTTGGTGAGGTTGTGGGGCTGTTTCTACTTATGAACAGCCTTTCTGGAGGGGCTGTGCTCCTCCCCATGCCTCCCATGTGGTGCTGCACCCCATAGCATCCCTCAGCATGCCTCTGTCCTTGCACTTGCTGAAGGCTTTTGCTCCCTTGTTTCCATATCTTCCTTGCAATTGCTCATCTCCCCTCCACTCCCTGGGGCAAGGCTGTTGGATGTGCTGCTCCTGGGTGCTCGCACATTCAAGGTGCCCTGTGCCCTCATTCATGTCTGTAGACAGAGTTTACCCTGTGATCGTACAGGTACACACAGACAATTGCAGTCTTGTATTTGCAGACCCCTTTTGCAACCTTTCTACACCTCTGGGACTGGGGGGAGACAGTGGGATCCTGCCTGGCTGCATCCCCACTTTTCTCCCTGTTCCTTGGTTTCCACTGGAGCCTGGTGCTCTGCCTGCCCCATCCCAGCCTGAACCCTGACTGATACATAGCACCAATTACTGTCTCTAGCATGAGCAGAGGGGCTGGGGGAGGCAGGACACAATTTCCAACACAGTCACCAGCCCTCCATCATTCTCCCCAGGAGAAAAAGGGCTCCCCAGGACAGTGGGTAAGAGGGAGTTTGGGGCCCTTGAAAGCAGAGAATCTGAAGGGGTATGTAGAAACCAGCGGAGCAGTCAGCATTTTGGAAGTTTGATCTGCAGAGAGCACTCGAAGGGTGCCTGGAAAAGATAAAAACTGAAAACAGCGGTGCTGGGCTCATGGGCATGCTTGGAGCTGCGCAAGTTCCCAGCAGAAGTCCCAGAGTTCAGCCTCTGCTGAAGCTTATTCTGGTCAGGGGATGGTGAGCACTGCACACCCCTGGGGAGTATCCACCCTGCTGTGGCCGTGTTACAGCCCAGCTTGCGGGTACCCTGCCCCAGGAATACCCTGTACCACAGAGCCAGCTTTGCCCATGGACAGGGCAACCCCTGCTCCAGCAGATTCCCACCATCTGCCAGGGTGTGCAGGGCTGGATGGAGGGGCTGGGGTGCCCAGAGAAAGGGGTTCTGGCAGCTCGGTGCAAGAAGTTGTCTTAGCAGTGAACCTCGTGGGGAGGCTGCTTGGGCAGAGATGCTGCACACTGACGGATGCTTAGACAGGGCAGGGCCTGGACACACTCCACCCGTGTCCTCCCTCTGACCCTGGTGCTCTCTGCTTCAGAGGTCCCATCAGCAGCAGCCAGTGAAAGTCCCCAACCTGACCTCTGCTCCAGGCACAGCAAGATGATGATAGCACAAGGGTCCAATGAGCAACACCCTTTTGCTCTGACCCGGCTATCCCACTGCACACCCCAGCCTCAGCGAGGACCCACCAACCCCTCTGAGATCTCAACTAGAAAGTGATTTACCAGTGTAACAACCAAGTGAAAAGTAAGGCAAAAGCTTTACCTGGGAGAGATGCTGCTTTCTCACCACCCTGAGCTCGTGGAAGCCCTCGGTGGCTGCGTTGCCTCCAACTTTCCCCCGGTGCGTGCGGCTCAGTTTGTGAAGGCAGAAGCGTGTGCTGCGGGATGCTGCCTCCCTCCCTCTCCTCTCCTCCCTCCCTCCCTCCTCGCACCAATATCCAGGCAGCGCGGTGACTGCAACATGAGTCAGACCACAAGTGGGTGGGATCAGAGCTGTGAACTCAGACATTGAGGTTATCATCCGGCAAATTTGAAATGCTGGAAGTGAGCCGTGCTCGGGGCACGCAGTGTGTCTGGCTCCACTGCGCTGTGCCAGGCACAGAGCAGGGCGGGATGCCTGCTGCCTCCTGCTGCTGCTTTCCTGGGTGATGCCCGTCACCTTCCTCACTAACATTAAGGTCTCAGGGCCCTTTTGCCATGTGCAAAGCCTCCCTCCTGAGTGGCTGCAGGTACAAACTCACAAACTTCCCTGCTGCCAGGAGGCCTGACGCCATCACTTGCTCCTAATGCAAACCTGACTTTGCATTTGGTGTGAGCACCCTGAGAGCAAGAAAGCCAAGCCTTTGGAGATGGCTGAGAGGCCACAGGGGGGGATTGAGGCTCTTGAGTTGCACTGGGGAGAGATAAAGAAAAAGGGGGTGTAACTGCAAAGCAGGATGAAACTGGAGCCCAGTCAATGCTGGGGTATAAATTTGCTTCTTGTGCAACTCAAGGTGGCAAGAGGAGCCCATGCCAACATGCTGGGGGTTCTGTGCCACAGCGGGGAGAAACTCATGGTGGATCAGTGGCAGGGATGCTCCGGGCTGGGCATCTTTCCCACAAGGCTGCATTTGCCTTTACTGAAAACTGTCCCCTGAACGTGTGTGATGGCAGGGAGGGAAGAAAACAAATGACAAACAGGCAGTGACAGCCTTTCATGTCTCTCAAATCTTTCATCTGTGGGTTTCAAAGCACTGTGTGAATATCAGCTGCTGGGCCAGCTGTGTGAATGAAGACCTGCTTTCTCTTTTAGCTCTCTGCCTCGAGCTGAGCAGGTCCCAGGCTGCCAGCAGAACTCCAGTGAAGCTTGGCCACCCCTCTGGCTCTGCATGGCCTGGGGACAACAGCACTGGCAGTGATGCACTGTGAGAGAGGTGCTTCAGTCCCCACCAGCCACTTCTGAGTCCTCAGAGCTAATAGCCAGGGACTGAATTGTTACAGCCTGGATGTGGCCCTGGGCTCCCTAAACTGGAAGAAGACAGGTCCTGCTGCTCCCCCGCTCACTGGGCTGAGCTCCCCCAGTGACCTATGCTGGGAATGGAAAGCACATCCCAGCCTCCATCTCTTCCAAACGGGGATACTGGTGGCACTGGCACACAGACCAAAATGCCTTTGATGTGTTTATCATTGCAGACCAAAGCATGGATCTATCTTTAATAAGCTTATGATGTGCTGGAGCTGAAGAGTTTTCCCCTTGATCAGCAGCCTGTGATGTGTCTGGGCACCAGAACTAGGGACTGGCTGTTGGGAGCTTCTCAAGTGGCTGGTGTGTGCAGTGTGTGGCCGCAGAGGGATCCCTCCTGCAAAACAAGACTGAAATCTGCTGAGGAATGTCTGCGTCAGCTCAAGTTGCTGTTGTGCTGATTTTGTCCAGGCCCCCTCGCTTGGCTCTGCTCTAGGAGCGATCTTACATTTGGAAGTGTCAGGATGGAAAGTGCCATGTAGGGATAAAGGTCTCTGGTTACCGGGGCAGGATCCTCTCTCCAGCCTCCCTGCCCTAATCCCTCCCACTGAAAGGTCCCTGCTGCTTCCCCCAGCTGCTGGAGATGGGGCTGGTGGCTGGTACTGGGGCCAGGCTGCTGTTGCTTGTCCCCAGGCTGGATCCCTTGGTCCCAGCTCTACAGAAGGATGCTGCATGCAGGGTGCTGGGGTTGCAGTGGTGTAGCAGCCTCAGGCATGCAGGGGTGTCTGGGTTATCGGGGGAACCCAACACTTCTGGAAACCCCTGAGCACAGGAGGTCCTAGGGCTCTGACCTTGTGCAATGGCTGGGTGGCTATAGGGTTTCTGAGGGGCTGTATGGCCTGGTGTGCTAGATCTGAGTTAACTGGATAATGTAGCACTGGAGGTGTGAGAAGGACAGCCTGCACAGATCATGCAGTGAGGTGCAGGAAAGCAGCTGGACCTAGAGCCAAAAGGAGCTGTGCAAGAGTATTCCTGGTGGCACAGACCACTCTGCTCTGCACATCTACAGAAGCAACTTGGGAAGTGGCAGATGTAATACCTGTGTATGCTGTGGATGGAAAGTCTGAGCGGTGGCAGGTCCCAAAAAGGAAGAAGGCACTTGAGACCCATCAGACCTGATGGCCAAACCACAGTGTGTGCCCTGGCAGTGTGGCCACTTTGGCCAGGCTCGCTGGGCTGCATGGAGTGAGCAGCAACCGGAGACACTTGTAACTGGGAAATTCCCCAGGCAGGCTGTGCTGAGCCATGGAGTGAGTAATGAGCCAGGGAATAGCAAGGAAAGGTCTTCTATGTCCTGTGTTATTGAAGGCTTTAACAATGCTGGAAGGTGGGGAAGTACAGGAGAAGACAGGGAAAGTCCAGGACTCCTAGAACAGGGATGCGAGATTTGGCAAACATGGGAGCTCCTGAAAAGCTTCAGATGGTGAAGTTATGCCCACATATGGCAGTTCAGCTCTGAGCAGGGCTCGGAAGGGCAGCTCTGTGCTGCTCTCTTCAGCCTGGGCTGGGTTTGGAAAAGCCAAAGGAGGAGGGGAAAGAGGAGCAGAAAATACCTGGAACACACAGCCTCTGGGTGCGGAGCTGCTCCTGGGGCAGTGCAGGCTGGGCAGAGCTGGCGGGGTGTCCCATTGGGTTTCAGAGACATTTATGTGAACTCTGGCAGAGGATCCAGGGCTGGGTTTTGGGACTTGTGCTGAGCTGTTTCTTCTGGAAAAATCCAACCTAAAAAGCCATGGAAGGACCGCTGCCCTTCCCGGCCATATGGGAGAGGGCAGTATCTTACTTAAATCACCTGAAGACTTTGATTTCCAGTGGATTATGTACATGGTGAAAATAAGAGACCCTCCCAATGTGTTAGCATGCTGCTTTTTTTTTAAACAAATACTTTCCAGTGAAATCTTGTCCTGGACAAAGGGGTGAATTATGACAGAAATCTCTGATATTCCCTGTCGGGGCCGTGTAAGCCAGAGCACACTTGTGGGAAATAAATATTGCAAGGGAAAGACATGTAAAACAGCTCCAGCGAGTCCAACATGGGAGCCTGGCACCGTGCAAGGCACTGGTCCTGCCTGCAGACCAAGCAGCCCCGCACAGTGATGGGAGACCCTCGCTGTGCTGTGGCTGAGGTCCAGAGCAACATCCTGCTTGTGTGTGTATTTTTGGCGTGCCATAAACCCTGGCTATTCCAGGAATGTTTCTTTCCAAAGGCAGGGACACGTACTGGAGAAGGAAAGGAGGCTTGGGCCTTTCCCACCCCTCTGTTTGCTGCAGTGCTGATCCCAAGGAGGCTTAGCAGGACCCCATCTGCTGTGATACAGTGTTAGACTATAGACACAGTCTGTCATATATTTCTTAAGCTTCTCCTAGTGCAGAGGGAGGATGTTAGAGGTTTGTTTCCAGGTTGTCAGTCTATCTGTGTTATACGAAGCTCTCCAAGCTCTAACGAGGACTGGAGGGTGCTGGCTGGCTTCACACTCACACATTGCTCCTTCAGGCAGTTGAGGGTTCACATGTTTTCTAGCATGTCCAAGGGCCAAGGAGGGTACTAAATTCATTGGGACTCCTAGAATAGGGAGAAAGAAGTTTGTATAACAGCAGTACAGGAGGTTTCATCTCTCTGATGCACTGTAAAGAGAAAAAGGAAATGTTGAGGTCTGTGGGAAGAGGTGACAGTCATTCCCCCCAGGCCATGAGGCTGGGAGGGCAGTGGGAACCTTGGCATAGCATGTACCCACCGGTGTGCATGAGATGTCCCCAGGAAGGGAGCAACCAGTTACGGCTCCGATGAGTGGGTCTTTTATGGGCTTTAGCACTAATCCTGCCAAATGCAATTGTACATGTCCTTGTTTTCCAGATAAATATTTAATCCTCTTCCAAATGCTGCTGAGATCGTGGCCAGGGTGATATCTTGGGGCAGCAGGTTAATCTGGGGCTGTGCAAAGCTGCTGCCCCCTCCGGGTGTGGAGGAAGCTGAGCCGTGGGTTACTCTTAGTCCAGGAGCAGAGTGGGAGGATGGGATGCTTTGGGATGCAGCTCTGCTCACACCCTCCTGGCATTTTTGGGCCCTGTGTCAGGAAGGTCTGCCAGTGCTTGCAGGAATGAGCTGTCAGGTTTTAGCTTGGGGCCAGTGGATTCTGGTCTGCGTATATAAGATCCTGCTCTGACGTTGGTTCAGTGGTTTAGGATTCCTGAGGGCTGGAAGCCAGCTCCTGCCCCGTTGCTTCACAGGGAGGTTTGCCTGCTTGAGCCCCAGGTGCTTCTGAAGCATTTCCCTGCAAAGCTGGCAGGAGGCTGTGCTGCTGGGCATGGGGGCAGGAATGAAAGGATTAGCAAAACGCTCCCCTGCAGCGGGACCGCCATGGGGCTGGCAAGGAGCACAAAGCTCAGAGCATGGACCAAAACATGGGCATTGCCCAGGCAGGCTGCCGCCTGCTGCTGCCAGCTCACACCCTGCCAGGGCCCTGAGCTGGACCCTGCTGAGGTCCTGCCTGACCTGCCAGTGCAGGCAGATGGGGCACGGGGAGGCCCTGCAAAGACCAAGAGTTGCAGAGGGACCATGAAGTGGCTGCCCCATCACTGGCAGTGTTCAAGGCCAGGTTGGACGGGGATTTGACCAGCCTGGTCTAGTGGAAGGTGTCCCTGGCATGGAACTGGATGAGCTTTAAGGTCTCTTCCAGCCCAAACATTCTATGATTCTTTGAAGCCAGTGCAGTGCTGAGCTGCTCCCAGCATGAGATTAAGAGCTGGGCACCAGTGTGGGTGCATGTCACCAGCACATCCCTGCACGTAGACCCTGACAGTGAGACCCCCATCCCTGGGGAGGGAGCAGCATTGGAGTGGTGTGGGCAAGCTCAGCCAGGCCAGGACAGAGACTGTGACACCCTGCCTGCAACATGCCGTGCCTCTGTGCCAGACTGCTGCAATCTCCATCTCATGTCCCGCTGCAGGTAACTGTAAAAATGGGAGC